AGAGAATTTGTAAGTTTGTCCAATGTTGACTTACTAATTTTAGTCCTTGATGAAATGACTAACATTTCATCAAGTTTGGGCTGCCATCACCTTTTGTTGGTGCTCAGACTGCTAGCAAAATGTTTTGCATTTAGATGGTAACATGAAGTGCTTCGGTGGTATGTGTTGAGACAACGCCAGTCTCTGCGATTCTTTTGGTCCTGGTAGAGATCACGTTTCCATGTTTTACACAATCCTTTTATTACCCATTATTCTTACAGATGCATCTGGAGATCAGCACACTGCATCCAATGCAGTCCTATTCTGAAGGGTGATCTAAAGAATTCCACACAGCAGTTACAGTTATAACCTCTGGTCTCCTTCCCCCTACAGTAAACATGCCCACAATAGAAAAAAAAAAGTGGTACAGTTGCCAGAGGTGTTGACACCCTGACCCCCATCTCCTTTTAAGGTAGTGTCCATTTGCCCTTTGTCTGCCCCTCACGCTCAGTAGCTCTTGCTTCCTGCCCTGGGGGAGGGTGTTGATTGTCCTCCTGCCCTGCACCTCAATTCTTTGTTCCCATTCCAGGCCTATTTCCTATTTTGTATACCCATTAACCGCCATAATGTAATATTACAAGAAATCCGAAACTATATTCCCCTTAACTCTGATGTAGATTAAGGAATCTATTCTCAACATATGCAAACTCCTTTTTCACAGTTTGCACAAAACCACACTTTCATCAAGCCTTCAGTTGGGTAGTCTTTTGAAATTAAATTTGCCTTTCATCCATCCATTGCTAGGATCATTCCTAGCAATGCACTTTCTTCTGATTCTTTGTAGCTCTGATGTGTGCATCAGTGTAATCGATATACCAGGAAATTGTGCATTGACAAAAGTTAGCTTTTGCCTGGAATACAAAGTGCAATTAAATGCGTAATTTTTTTTAGTATGTTGTTGTTTTTTTCAAATTAATTAATTGCAATTAACACGTTAAATTCCGACTCCTAGTTTTTAAATAACCAATTCAAAGTACTTAAAGAACAATCAGGTGTTCTGCATTAAATAAGATAACATGCAAATTATTTTTGCTACTCCTAAAAATTATTTCTGTCCACTCTAACATAAAG